TCGTAAGGGCCGCGGAAGAGGCGGCGCCACCGGCTGCTGCCGCTACAGCTGAACCGGCTGAAGCTCCGGTCAAAGCTGCCAAGCCACCTCCAATTGGACCCAAGAGAGGAACCAAAGTAAGTTGCTTAAAGGAAATTAAAGACCCCATGTTATATATAGAAGAATTAATCCAAATAGTCGTCCATCCAATTGCTTAAACTAAAAATAACACGTGGATATATAATATATGCATAATTTAGGTATAATATGTGTATAATTATATATATTCAATGTATAATCTATGTATATGACTAGAAAAAGTAAACAATAAATATGACCGGCTATTTGTGTAAAAATCCCTTATATATAAGTGTTCAATATATCATCTTGCCACCTAATGCAAAAAGGATTTAACTTGTATACACAGGCATAAAGAATTTTTACACAGTTAATATATTTTAACTTGTTGTAGCAGGTAGTTTGTCTTATTGTTTAGGTTGTTGCTTCCACTTTGTTAATAGACGACGATTACGCGATTATTTTTTAGGTGATTTAATATCATTAAAAATAATTATATTATGAGTGTATAGAAGTTAAACTTGTGCAAATATGTTGATAATTTAGTATTCACAACATATTGCTAGAGGATCCAATTGATATTTGTATGGGAATACAAATAGTGAGAAATCATGAGTATCTTATAAAGTAGTAGTCATAAAACTTTCAAGATGGAAGTTATCCTATAGATATTATATTTTCTTGATATAGTTGTTCACAATCATAGGCTGTTCTACTTTTACGACACCGTCTCTGCATCTGCTGCAGTGTAAAGAATTAACATGTTTCCTTTTCAGGTTATTATTATTTTCGCTTGTAGTGACGGTTACTCTTACTTTATCTAAATATTTTTTTATATTGTCGGTGTATAGTAAGTTAAACTCCTGTATACTATTCAAGTTATTCTACATCCATTATCACAAAAGAATAGTGATTGTAGTAACATTTAGACTTATCTGGATCATGATTAATTTCACTTGTGAGATTACATTGCGTATGTTATTATTATCTGGATCATGATTGAATGTAGAATCATCTAATATGTTACTGATAATATTGTTGACAGGTGAGAATTCTTAGGAAGGAATCTTACTGGTACAAGGGCACAGGTTCAGTTGTAGCTTGTGATCAGGTAAGAAATTTAATATAAAATCTATTTCGATTAGACTTTAAAAATGATGTTTAACTTTTAATGTTTTCCATTTTGTTGTTAATATCTCAGGATCCAAATACTCGTTACCCAGTTGTTGTACGATTTAACAAAGTGAATTATGCTAATGTTTCAACCAACAATTACGCATTGGATGAAATCGAAGAAGTGAAATGAGAGTTGGCGACCAATTACTAGTATATTTGTAGAATGCAAGGCCCTTTGGTTTCTATGTTTATTCTCTAGTTATATACTGGCTTTGATTGTGAATGAATGTCAATTATAGTTTGTGGCAATTCGCAATCCCATCCCTTTTCTATTTTTATTGTTACCATTGCTCAAATCCAATTCTTTCAAAGCATAAATCTTCCAATATCAAGTAGATATGGATCCAAGTTTTGAAGACATTGAGTGTTTAACATTAGGAGTCGTTTTGTTGATTGTGCAGGAATAAATCATAATCAATTTTTGTAAAAATAAGATAGAGTTTGATTGATCGCATAAGAAAAAAAAATAGTTACATAACAAAAGCAGCCTTTGTTTGGCCGCATAACAAAAAATAATCATAGAATTACTTGATGCAATGTGTGATTGACAGTATTAAATAATATCCCAATTAAGTTAAGCAAGAATTTATGTATTATTTTATGCGAATTAAAATGTGAAATACGAATATGCATTAGTTAGTAATACAATGATTAACCACATTAAAGACAAATATGCCCTTAAAACAATTAACTTTTGCATAACAATCCTACGAGTATTTCTTTTGCATAACAATCCTTTCATAATTAATGGGATAACAATCACTTCATTATTAATCACCACATAAATGATTCATATGCTATAATCCCCACATAATTAGTATTGTGTCGATCCCGGGCACATAGTTCAAGTCGAGTGTCATTTGGCAGATTTGGCCAAGCTTGAATATATGCAAGTTGTATTAAACAGAGCAAAAATATTTCCAGATGATAATGATCTCGAGAAAATTTCACAATTTGAGGAATTCAAGTTAACAATATGGCTTTAAACTAAGTAAGAAAATGTAACTAATTTACACTCTTTCAGGAACATATGTTTAGTCATAACTTGATCCTTTTTTTATCAAAGAAAAGGTACATCAATGTATATATTATCTTTTTGAAGATCAAGAAAAAGCATATCGAAATCAAAGACAGGAGAAATGAATGCTTGCAAGGATCTTGACCTCCAGTTAGAGGTAACCTACGTTTCTCCAACTCTCCGAAAATTTCTCCAGGTGCGTGTCGGATCCTTCAAAAGTAATGTATTTTTGAAGGATCTGACACGGGTGAGACAACATTTTGAAGAGTCCGTGCAACATAGGAGGTAACTACCATCTCAAAACCCAAGAACACCGTTAAAGCTGACTAGTTAGAAACAGATGCAGCATACCTACTTACAAACATATATAGGGTTGTCGCAACAGAAAGGAGGGAGATTGATGGACATGACGATGAGGCACAGAATACGCGAACACGACAAGGTAAAACATATGACAAGAATGGCATTCACAAGCGGATACACTTATCGACAAAACAATACACCCTTGAGGTAGAGGAATGACTATACTCATGGATGAGGCTAGTGACCTTGTTTGTTTACAATCCATATCCAAAAATAAGTGTTTATACTCTTTACTTTTGTTTCATTAACAATACTAACTTGAGGATAGAAGTCACTCCTCCCAATCCCAAGATAAAGTAGTCGACAAACGAAGGCTGGAGTCTTCAGGATGTCCCGAGAAACGTATTATGCACCACAAAAGTACAACAATGCAGCTTCGGTTTGAGACTTCTTAATAAGTTTAGCAACTTTTGCAATCTTCTCTTTTATTCACACTGTAATTCTTGAAAGGACCCCTCTTACTGGAAAAGGCCAAGGACAGAATTATATGCATCTTGGGTCTGGTCCAATGTTTAATAAGTAATTTGATTGCTCTTGGGTCTGGTCCAATGTTTAATAAGTAATTTGACCGCAATCAAATTCAGTCAATCAACTCCAATATGCATGACGAATTTATACACATCTCGGCTCTGGCCCAATGCTTAATAAGTAATTTTAACATGAATAAATTCAATCAATCAACTTCAATATGCACGATGCATCTCTACAACCTTGTCGCATGGAAGACATTGGGTTTGGAAGGGGG